CCTCCTATTCCCAGCCCATTGCAAATGCACCTCACACCCGTGTTTTCCAGCTTCAGTTCAAAATTGTTGTTTTGTAACCTGAGCCACATTAAGCTCTTCAGAGCAGATGGTCTCCAGTGACTTCTTCCATTCTTGTAGCAGACCCAGCTCAGATTGGCTGTAGTTCCCGGCACATCCCCTCCCTTCTAGGGGCTGGTCCCTGCCCTGGATGGCCATTTTGTCCTAGGTCACTAGGCTGCTATGTTCTTTGCTGGTCAACAGATGCTGTTCTTTCTACAGTCTTGTGATTGATCCAGAAATGGCCTATTACGTCAGTGAACTATCCTCAATCTTAGAAGCTCATGATCCATTCAACCCTTCTTTCTTCCAGTGGGCATCCTTTTGGTTTCTGCCCAGGCTTGGTGAAGTATCCTTCTCTTGCTTTCCCACCCCCTGCCTTCAATTTTGCAAAGCTTCCCTACATTTCCTCTTTTTTTTTTCTTTTTACGTATTTAAGTTGTAACATAAGAACTTCCTACTTTGTTTCTATAAATCTGAACTATCAGTTCCTCCTTGCTAATAAATTTTCCATGGACCTCCAGAGGAATGGGAAGACAAACTATTTGTATTGTGTTGATTGTTTGATTATTGTAGAATCAGAGCTATGATGGTACCATAAGGGGGGAAAGGAAAAAGAAAAGGTCTGCATTAGTGTCAAAGTAGATATGTGGAAAGGGGGCATGAAGGCATCCATGTGTATAAACATCTGGAGAGAACATCCCTAAAAGAAAAAGGCAGGCCCTGGTAGGCTGGTTTACACAGCCTAGACTCAACATCACCCTGATCCCCTTATCTATACACTGCAATCCAGACTGGAATTTCTGAATCTGGCTTAAGAATTGGCCAGGAGCAGCATGAGCAACAAGTAGCTTAGGCTGCAGTGTGGAATTGCTCTTAGGCTAAGTGTGCGCTCAGAGACACCTTGTTTCTTATTGTACGTTTGCCCATTTGAGCTATTATTTTGCTTCTGACCTCAGAATCAAAATGGATTGATAGTCAATCAGGAATAATGCCATGACACTTGTCTTTAAGATAAAAAATATTACTGAAAGAAGCTTATTTTCTTTGCATATCACAGAGATAAAATCCTGGAGCAAAATGGTCTCAAAAGAATATGTATGGTTCTAAGATTTATAACATTTTGCAATTCTTGATATTTTAGTTTTTGCCTGGAAAGCTGCTAGAATTTGGCTATAGACCCAGTTCCATTCATTCACACTTCATAATTATATATAAATTCCAGAACCAGCAGAAACAGGCAATCAAGGCAAAACAGAACATCAGGTTGGAACTAGCTCATATTTCACATGCAGATTCATGAGAAATGGTCCTGGCTTGCTTTCATTAAATAAAAAAAAGACCACTTCCTAATGTCTATACAAGAGGCATTCAGGAAAACTTTACAAAAATTCTTGTATTCAAACTTTCCTTAAAAAATTAGCAGACCTCCAGCAAACTTTCGCTTTCCTTCTGAAGTAAACCTCTCCTTATCCTCTAACGTATCTTAAGGACAGGATAGGTAATAAAGAATGAAAACCACAAAGGTAATTCCATGCTTCAACCATGCAAAGTGAATAACTTTTGGCCTTTCAGATGGTTCATTTATAGTTCTCATAAAGCATGACCACAGAACATGTTGGCTGGAGTTAATGGGAGGTGCAATCTTAAATATGCAGATTTCTTCAGGATTCCCACTGCTATTAATGATATGCAGGTTTTCATCATTCCCACAACGACTTTACACATCTTCATTAGCAACATACTTTTGCTCAAACTGTAATGGATATACGGCAAACAGTTTGAATCATTTGGCACATGCACAAATATTTGATGCATATATTCACAAATCAGCCTAATATGAGTTGAGATAATGTCATAACCTGTTTGCTGCAACTATGCACTGTGGTCTTTATTGGAGAGGGAGCTAATTAGCTTCTCTCACTCTGCATATAGCTATTTCACAGATTTAAAAATAATGATTTTCTGCCTGTGATAGTCCTGGTGGGTTTACATATTTATAATCCAGAGGAATTGAATTAATGCACTCAGAAGCATTTTCAGGCATACAGAAAGTAGGCAGCATAAATAGTTCATATGGATAAGAAAATGTGAAAGGCAATAAATATATCTGGAAATCCAATGTAAGGTGGTGTTTATGATGTTGGACCTGGGCTGGAAAGACCCAGGTTCAAAAATCTGCTTGTCCATAGAGCTCATTGGGTGACTTTGGATTAGTCATTCTCTTTCAGCCCAAGCTACTTTACAGATTGTTGTTGTGGAATAAAATTCATATAAGCAATTTCAGCTATCAGAAGAAAGGTAGAATATAAATGCAATAAATAATACAATAAATAAATATTTAGCCTGTTGAAGATTGGGGGTATTGTAGAAGATCTGGGGTTTTGTAGCACTCTTCAAACATCAGAAGACGTCACATGGAGTTGAACAGGATAAGATATAATAGGATTAATATTTAATGGGAGGATGTATTTTAGCATTTGGAATATAGTTACCAGACTTCTTGGAAGTATTATGGACTAAAATTGAAATTAACAATTTAGTCACCTAAAAGGTTTTTTTTAATCACATTCACTCTTCTCTACAAAATTCTTGGACTTCGTCCAGTTTTCTGACCTCTTATGAAGCCCTTCTCATTCAGTTCTACCTAATCCAAATATTTACCTTATTATGCCTTCCCACCACTTATTTGTGGCCTACGTTGGTTAACCATGGATTTCTCTCCAGAATCCATGAACATGCATGTACAGTTTTGGTCCAGCAGTAATCTGAGAATTTACATGGCAACATCTAAGAAGAATAAAGCATGTGGAATAAGCAGAGGGATGGAGAAGATTATTCTACTCATTTATTTTCCGAAGTTGGAAACCCTAGGGTTCTTTGAAAGATTTTCAAGGGATCCCTAGTGAGGAAGCATTATTCATACACTTGCCTTGCATACAAAGGATTCCAGATGGCATCACTGAGAAGAGAAAAAGGCCTGTGCACAATCAAGTAAGTAGAGTAGAGTAGATGGACTGTCAAATGCATAGTCTGGCTTCTGTGTGATCAGTGAGAAGATCATATATCAACAATTTCAAATGCCTTGAAAACCTGAAAAATAATGCCTCTGTACAAACACATTCTGAGAATTTCTGGAATGGAGCCATTTAGTCTGCTGAGCAAAAGCACCAAGCTGTCTTATGTCATCTTTAGTGTTTCAAAATTCCTGGTGTTTAATCTGGCATATATTCCATTAGGTGGGATGAACACTTTGAGTTTTTTCTCACAGAGCTCAGAGCAGGCTACCCTCCTAAAAAAACCAAGTGGGCTTGTCACCTTGCTATTCAAGGAAGTGGGTTCCAGTACAGTGAGATGCACAATACTTCAAGACTTCCCTATTTAGTTCTGGAGATGGTTTTACACCTACAGGCAGCTAGGAGCCGAACAGCTGCTGTTCCTGTCTTTATAGCATTACGCCAGTCTGTAAACCTTTGGATGGTTTCTGAGGATCTGGTTGAAAATTTTTCATACAGGGAATAGAGCACAGAAGTAGAGGTACTTCCTGTAAACAAACTCTATTAGATTACCATGTTCCTTAGGACAGCAGTGAAGTCATCTTAGGCCAAAGAGGGGCCATCAAATGTGTATTAGAAAAAGAGGGCAGGTGCAGGCATATTTCTGTCTCAAATTATGAAGAGGCAATAAAAGCATACTGCCCTCTCAAATTGAAGTTAAAAAAAATGGTTTTCCTTCTAAATTGTCTGCTACCCACCACTTACTTCTGATTCTACCACCATAACCTAAAATAACCATGAGTTACAAACACTGAATTGAGAAAGAACCCAGCTCCCTCACTTGACCTTACAAAGCTCAGTTTCAGGGTACAATTTTTTTTTAGTCTGTTTCTCTGGAAAGATGCTTCCTCTGAATTATTTTAAATTGGAACTTGAAAGAGGCAGCCTAGTTGACTTTACTCCAAAGGCTTGACAGGCCATGACTTCCATAAGGAGAAGAGGAAGCCTCCTCAGAATTATGTTAGAAAAACATTGGTGTAAAAGATTGGTATAGTCAAGAAGTAGGTCTTCACAGGAAACAAAAGCAAGATTTTATGGACTTAGGTCAGGGGTTCTCATACTATGGGTTGTGCATCCCCCCCCCCAGGGGTTCACGAGCAGGTTTGAGGAGGGTTACAATTTCTGGGTGCCCAGAAGGGTTGAAAGGTAGGCAAGCATGGAGTATAACATTCACAGAGCTCTGGTTCCTATGGAAAGCAAAAAGGAGGAGCCTGCATGAATGGAGGATTGTATGAGCAGAATGCAAGCAGGCAAAGCACACCACTTCATGGGAGCAGCCTAACCAACTACTCTGCATCAGAGTCTGGTTGGCTTTCCCAGGGGCAAAGCTGCAGTAGCAGCTTTCCCACAACAGTCATCAAGTATGAGAAATTCAGTTCCCATCATCAACTGCCAGCGGACTGGGAATAATAGGAGTTGGCTGATGGATTTATGGTGTTGCACTGCCTATTCTGCCTATTTTGAAATTGACTTCAGACTGATTTGTGAGGTATTGGGGAATGGAAACTTGCAGAGGCATCCTTATTCTTGTTTGCTTTCTGTAAGCTCTCTGGACTGCCAAAATCTGGGGTAAGCCCTCTGATACCAACAATCTGCAGACTGTGACATTCATCAATGTATGACCACTGACTGGTGCAGAATAATATGACTTCTTATCCTGAATTGAAATTTGGTTCTGAAGATAGCAACTATTCTATTAAGAAAAGATTTTTCTACCTTTAGAGTTGGCAAAACAAAATAACCAGCTTTATGCAAAGAACATTTTCAAAAATTTAACAAAGCAATTTTTGAATCCCTGGTGACACCAGTGATATCAGAATAAAGCACTTGGCCATATGGGATTAAAGAATGCTTGATGTGTAATTCCATCTGCCTTTTCTTTCTTGGCTGAACAGAGGCAAATTTCTTATCCATTCATTTCCTCTTTGTTTTTTCCAGTTTCTGATAGTGCTGTAAGAATATGGTCATCCTTACTTGAAGGTTTAGCTAGATTATTTGTCAACCAGAGATTTTTACATTTTGTTAAACTTGTATCTGCAGATAGTGAATTTCTCCTAAACAATTTTTACATTTTGTTAAACTTGTATCTGCAGATAGTGAATTTCTCCTAAACATACAGTAACCTTTGTACTTACTAGTCATTGAATTTTAATGACTTGAAGGTTTAGCTAGATTATTTGTCAACCAGAGATTTTTACATTTTGTTAAACTTGTATCTGCAGATAGTGAATTTCTCCTAAACAAATTTCACTGAAAAGAATGAAAAGTATATAAAATCCAATTGTGCCTATTTATTTATACATACCTTGTTTTGTTCAATTAAAATATCCTCAAGGCAGCCTACAGCAATATATAAATTCATTAAAATTCAATGACTAGTAAGTACAAAGGTTACTGTAAGCATTCCAGTTCCTCCTCAAGAGATATTCCCAATCTATTTTGTCCCTGGGATAAGAACTAAACCCATCCCTAAATGCATACAATGTCCAAGAATGCTTTCTATTGATCCCATAATAGTAGCTGTTTCAGGTGGAGTTTGAAATGAATTAGTAATACTTAAAACAATTTCCCCCAAGCTTTCCAGGTGTCTCACCTAATGGCTATGCTGGCTGGAAATGATGGAAAGTGCAAAGCAATACATGTGGAAGACGCCTGTATTTGGGGACAGCTGCCCTAAAGTTTTATCAGGCTGCTCAGACTTGGCTGGAAGTCTCGCAGGAAGGAGATTCCACAGCCTGATCATTGCTAAATCATTGCAAATATGCAAAGCAGCTCAATAATTGAAGCATGCACAAATTAAAACACTTGGTGAATTGAAATATTCCAATACATTGTGGTGTTGAGATGCAATCTCATAAGTTCCCTAATTTTCTAGGAGAATTTTTTTCTCCATCATTTTCCAGTCATACTGTGATAGCTCTTGGCATATGTAGACTGCAAACTTTGTGACTGCTAGCAAGGCAGCATGTGAATGTATCACTCCAGAATGCTTTCCCTTTTTTTGGTTTTGTATGTCAGAATGAAGAATAAATTGTGGTATTTTGAATTCGGCACAACAGAAACATTTGCAGCCACTTGCAAGAAGCTTCACGACTATGTAGAGATTGAGGTGAGTCTCCCCAAATCCTTGAAGTCTTGATTTTCTGTAGGAGGTGTGTTACGATTGTGCCAGTAGTTTCTTAGAATTGTGTTCATGTATCACATTAAATCATTACACATAGTTTATTGAACAAACGAGAGAAGTCAGAGTCAAACTTGCAGAGAAAGAGTTCCATGGTTTATTGGAAAATTATTCCTGGCAGATTTCTGGTTTGTTTTTCCCTTCTTCCTTAACTTCACCTGCATTCCATCTCTGGAGTCGTTAACGCTTTAGTCAAAAAACTAGGCTGTAACAGCTCGGTGCGGCTTACAGGATAGAGTAAAAAAATCATCAAAAATGCATTAAAACATAACAGATATAAATTCAAAAGCTCAAGCAGTGGTGTTAACTGAATGTATTTTATTTATTTGTGAATAGGCACGCCAAGAGTTATGGTAGTAATTGACTCAAAAGATATCTCTGAGCATTGGTCTAGTCTTTATGTAACCAAAATAGCACCATCCATGATAGCCCCAAACTGTGGGGTGGAGGGGGCCGGGGCTGGACTTGTTTTCCTGAGTTTACCCTGGTGGTACTGCAGGGGAATACTGAACATCACCCAGCCACATCCTTCATGACAATTCAGTATCTATGAAGCATTCCATTCTTTCAAGAATTATTGTCATCAATACAAGATATTAATTCCCCCCAATTCAAAAACTTCAGTATCTTCTCAGCCGAAACAGAGTATTTTTTAAACTTACTTGGATCACACATAGTAGATAAATCACAAACATACATTTATGGAAATTTCACTTATTGACTTTACAGTCTTTTAGAACAGCACAGTGGGTTGCTGCTCACCTCCTAATTTGTCCAAAAGAAGAAGGTGGAGGACGAGAAGGAGGTAGGGACAGGCAAAGCAAAGGACACCCTATTTGCCTTTCTACTGAGGGTTGCCAGGTGAAGAGAAAGGGCCTCTGTGTTCTCCTAACTGCCCCTGCACTGCTGGGTGTAAGGGAGAGGGAGGAATAGGAAGACGAGGGTGCATTGGCCATTTCTTCCAATCAGTGGTTAGCAGGATCCACAGTGCAGGAGGGAGGCAGGAGAAAGCTTCTCAGAAAAAGCCTTGCCTGATGGGACAATGCCAGAGAGCACTTTAGTTTTCCTCTTGAGGTTTATGACCTCTACAGCCTTCATGAACACAACAGTCCTCTCTTTACTTTTTAGTGCTGGCTCATGACCTTGATTCTGGCCCACAATGATAGGATCGAACAAGATTTTAGATTCCACACATCTGAATGCTTT